CATATACTTTCTTTCTAAGGTTTCTAAATTAAAATGATGCAATTTACTATTATAGGACCGTAGCTTTTTTGCTTTACTAACAGAAAATGCTGGATGCCAGAGAAACCGCTTTTGAACACGTTCGATACGTAATGGATGTGTAGCATAGTGTGGTCTCCAGACCACACTATGCTATATTCTAAATATACAATATTCTAAAATATTACGAACTAGACTGTTGTAAAGAAATATTTTAGTTTTGTAATGCATATCTTTCGAGTTCCTTATTTTAGATGCTCTCATAATTATGTTATGAAAATGGGGTACAAAAGAAATTTTTTTATCATATATTACGCCAAGATCCCGCACAGTCTCTGCTTTCCTAATTTTAGTATTATGAATAAAGTAATTTACATATGCAGGCAGGGGGTGCTAAGAATCTCCGGTGGAGGTTCGGTTGCCACCTACGACGACTCGACCTGGCAACATTTAACGCACGCACACTGAGGATTGACGAGAAGATCCTGGAGCTGGAAGAAGAGATAGACAAGTTGCGCTGGAGTATTATAGGATTATCCGAGGTCCGAAGAGAGGGGGAGGACACGGTGATTCTCGAATCCGGCAACTTGTTCTATCACCGGGAGGGCGACCATCTGTCTCAAGGAGGTGTCGGATTTATCGTCCACAAGTCTCTCGTCAACAACGTTGTAAAGATTGGTATGGTATTGATAAGTGTGTCGACGAGGGTCGCGTACCTGATACTCAGAATCACCAAACGGTATTCGCTGAAGGTCATACAGGTTTACGCACCAACCTCGGCACATTCCGATGAGGAGGTGGAGGAAATGTATGAGGATATTTCCAAAGCCATGCATTCCTCCAAAACCCACTACACGGTGTTGATGGGAGACTTCAACGCAAAACTAGGCACAAGAGAAAACGGTGAGCTGAAGTTAGGAAAATTTGGAGTAGGGCAACGGAACCGAAGGGGCCAGCAGCTGGCCGACTTTATGGAGAAAGAGGGACTCTTTATGATGAACTCTTTCTTCCAGAAGCGGCCCCACAGGAAGTGGACCTGGTCGAGCTCCGACGGTTCGACAAAAAATGAGATTGACTTCATTATGACGACCAGACGCCAACTGTTCAGTGACGTCTCAGTGATCGCAAGGGTGAAAACTGGCAGCGATCACCGAATGGTTAGAGGCACACTGAACCTAAACGTTAAGTTGGAGAGGTCTCGTCTAATGAAGTCAACGCTCCGTCCCCCTCGTGCTCTAATCCAAAATCCCAAAAACTTTCAGCTCGAGTTACACAACCGCTTTCAGTGCCTACAAGATTGCAATGCAGTGGACGATATGAATGACAAGCTCGTGGAAACTGTCCATGCGGTCGAAGCTAAGTTCTGCAAGACCCGCCGCAGAAGAACACAAAAACTCTCCGATCACACTCTTAATCTCATGGCTGTTAGACGGGAGATGAGGCTGCAATCGTCAACAGATTTGACAGCATACAGGCAACTGAACAGACAGATCTCCAAATACATGCGGCGAGACTTACGCAACTTTAATACTGCTCGTATTAAAGAAGCGATCGAGCGGAACCAGGGCTCCAAAGTCTTTGCCAGAGATCTGTCTGCTCGTAAGAGCCAACTGTCAAGGCTGAAGACTGAGTGTGGCAGCATCGTTTCCGGGACACCTGAGATTTTGAGTGAGATTGAGAGGTTCTATGGGCAGCTGTACACATCATCGTTGGAGCCACACGCAAGTGTGAGTAACGATCCAAGAGCAAGTCTTATCCGACACTATTCCGATGATATCCCGGACGTCAGTCTAAGCGAGATTAGAATGGCTCTCCAGCACCTTAAAAACGGCAGGGCCCCAGGCGAGGATGGAATTACAGCGGAGCTTCTGAAAGCGGGTGGAACACCGGTACTTGAAGTTCTTCAGAAGCTCTTCAATTCCGTCCTCCATGGTGGCACTACTCCAGAGGCGTGGAGTAGAAGTGCGGTGGTCTTGTTCTTTAAGAAAGGCGACAACTTTCTCTTGAAGAACTACAGACCGATTTCCCTTCTGAGCCGCGTCCACGTGCTGTTTTCGAGAGTCATTACGAATTGTCTCGCACACAGACTCGACGAATTCCAGCCTCCCGAACAAGCCGGTTTCCGAAAAGGCTTCAGTACCATAGACCACATACATAACCTGCGGCAGATTGTACAGAAGACTGAAGAGTACGATTTGCCACTTTGCCTGGCGTATGTGGACTATGAGAAAGCCTTTGATTCCGTCGAAATTTGGGCGGTGCTGCAGTCCCTTCAGCGGTGCCAAGTTTACTGTCGGTATATCGAAGTGCTGAAGTGTTTGTACAGTAGGGCTACGATGGCTAACCGAGTACAGAACCAGAGCTCGAAACCTATCCAACTGTAGAGAGGTGTAAGACAGGGTGACATTATATCCCCCGAAACTCTTCACCGCTGCTTTGGAAGACGTTTTCAAGCTACTGGACTGGAAAGGATACGGTATTAACATCAATGGCGAGTACATCACTCACCTTCGATTTGCCGACGATATAGTCCTTATGGCAGAATCGCTGGAGGACTTAAGCACTATGCTCAATGACCTCAATAGTGCCTCCCAACGGATAGGTCTTAAGATGAACATGGACAAAACAAAGATCATGTTTAATGTCCATGTCACACCTATGCCGGTAGTTGTTGGGAGCACTATGCTCGAAGTTGTTGACGAGTACGTTTACCTGGGACAAATAGTCCGACTAGGTAAGTCCAACTTCGACCGAGAGGTCAATCGACGGATTCAACTCGGCTGGGCAGCGTTCGGGAAATTACGACACATCTTCTCGTCAGGTATACCTCAATCTCTGAAAACTAAAGTGTTCAACCAGTGCGTGTTGCCAGTGATGACTTATGGATCAGAGACGTGGTCCTTCACTGCTGGCCGTATGAGGACGCTCAAGGTCGCTCAGCGAGCTATGGAGAGGGCTATGCTCGGAGTTTCTCTGCGTGATAGACTCAGAAATGAGGATATCCGCAGTAGAACCAGAGTGACCGACATAGCACAACGGATTAGTAAGCTGAAGTGGCAATGGGCCGGCCATATAGCTCGAAGAACCGATAACCTATGGGGAAGAAAGGTTCTCGAGTGGCAGCTTCGTACCGGTAGGCGTAGTGTAGGGCGACCCCCCACTAGATGGAGTGACGACCTGGTAAGATATGCAGGAAGTCGATGGATGCAGGTGGCTCAGGACCGTGCTTTGTGGCATTACTTGGGGGAGGCCTATGTTCAGCAGTGGACTTGTGAAGGGCTGTGATGATGATGATGATGATGAATTTACATATATTAAATTTTGTTTTCTGGAGTATTTAACATAATAACATTTACTTGTATTTAAGTCCATTCTGTTGTTGAAGCACCATTGGATTAATCTATCAATGTCACTTTGTAATAATTTAGTATCATCATCACTCTTAATTATTCCCATAAATTTTAAGTCATCAGCATATAAAAAATATTTTGAAAATAGAAAATATTTTTAATATCATTTATGAAAAAAAGAAATAAGACTGGTCCCAAATGAGAACCCTGAGTAACACCGGAACTTATAGTTTTAGTACTTGATTGAAAACCATTAATTGCAACTAAGAAGGTCCTTTTCACTAAATACGAATTCAACCATTTGAGTAACGAGCCACAAATCCCGTAGGCACACTACTTAGAAATCAAAATCTTATGCGAAACCTTGTCAAAAGCTTTGCTAAAGTCGCTATAAACAACATCTTCCTGATGAACCATGTCAACAGCCTCGTACAAGAATTCCGTAAAAGGAACTAAATTCGTACTAGTGGACCGAGACCTGAAGAACCCATGCTGATGGTCACTTATATAGAGGCTTAAGTGCTGTTGAAGATGATGACAAATCAACGACTCAAATACTTTGGCAAAGGTTGACAAAATTGAAATGGGTCTATATTTGGAAATGATATCGATATTTGACGACTTATGTATGGGAAATACTTTTGCTATTTTCCATTTTGAAGGAAACATTCCAGATGCTAAAGACAAGTTGTAAATTATTTTTAAAGGATATATCAATTCCGAAGCACATTCTTTTATAAAAATTGGTGGTATTTCGTCTGGCCCTTCGCCTTTATTACAATCTAGTCCTTTGAGTTTTTTTTAAATTGTATCATGTTCTATTTTTAGATTTGAGAGACATAAGCTGTTATTTACTAGTGATTGTAAGTAATCGGACATGCATTCGTTGTAACTATCGTCATCCTCTAGGCTATAAACGGAAAAAAGTAAGAAGCAAACATTTCACACATAACTGAACTATCTGAGCTGGAAGATGATCCATCCCTCTTGTCTTTCACCATCGACCAAAATAGTTTGGGATTTTTCGAGAATGTATCTTCACATTTTTTAAATAATGATTGTAACACTTAGTTGTTAAGTTTTCACAACGCTTGCCTATAAGTTTTAATTCGATTCTATCTAACGGATTTTTATATTTATTTTACCGCTTCCGTATCCTGTTTTTTTTTATTCTATAATTTAATAAGTTTATGATCAAACCAAGATGGAAATTTGTAAGTTTTCGATTTATATGAGGTACAAAATTTTGTACTGCTATGTATAATATTTCGTAAAAGATCTCTAGAAGCTTATCCACATCACACAGTCCTCCTCCTCCTCCTGTTTTACGTCTTTGTAGATTGGAACTTTCTCTATTCCTCCTGTATACCACGTATCTTTTATTAAACAGTTCACTATTCAGAACTGCGCTATTCAGCCACGTTTCTGTCAAAATTATGATATCGTAATCATTACAGCAAACGTTTCGATAAAATGTTTGTGTTTTCGTATTTAAACCTCTACTATTCTGGTAATATATCTTTAATTTTTTGAATTTTATTCTGATATTTCTATTACTTTCACAAAGTATGTAAGGATGTGTAGATATACAGAAGTGAAGTTATACTATTTTACTTAAAGTGTCCTAGTGTCTTACGTAAATATATTCCGAATTTTCATCTTTTCTAACGAAGATTTTACCCTTTCTTTTGATTTTGATTTGTATCCTTTTTCTTTTGATTTCAATCTAGCAGCTACATGTAAAGCTTTATTAGATGGAGACAAATGCTCGACGACATAAACTGGTTTTTTGATACCAGTATAACCTAAGTGCACGCTGTTGAGTTTGTTTTGCGGATTTGATTTATTGAAGCTGATAACTGCAGCCAAAATCTGATCACGTACTTTAGGAGAAGCCAATTGGATTACGATAGATCGAGGACGAGTGTTGCTAGAACTCATTTTAGCTATCCGGGTACAGTGAAGTATATCTTCGTATTTTAACTCACATCCAATTACAATTCCTAGCTGTTTGACAGTCGAGTATAAGTTTTCATGTTTGTTTTCAGGCAAACATTGAAGTTCCAAATTATTGGATCGAGATTGCTGCTCCAAATAATTAAGTCGTTGCAACTTGTCAGAAACTGTATTTCCTAAATGAGTATTTATATCTTGCAGTGTTTTAAAAGATTTTTTAGCTGCGAGCTGTTCCGACTCGATTTCCTTAAATTTTTTATTAATAAAGGACATAGATTCTTTAAGGTCCCTCATTTAGTTTTTTATAGGTTCCAGCTCCTTATTGATAACACCGATCATGCTATTATTTAGTTGTTTTAGCATATCGTTGAACTCTTTCTTAATAACCTCTTGGATAATTGTGTGAACGTTTTCACTTGTAACAGGACTTGCTTTTGGAGGAGAGTTTAATGCCGGTCTTTTATTTCCTCTGGTCGTAGGAATAGCACGAATAGGTGTGCAGTCTTTTTTTGAGATCTTTGGTGCTGAATTTATACATGCTGGACATCTCCATTTGTCATAAGCTTCAGAGTCCCGAGCGATTTTAGGAATGGATAAACAAAAAACAATTGTAAGATTTATTACAGTGCGTACAATTAATGAACTGATCAAATTCTTCAATTGATTCATTAGAGCAACATCCCCATAATTGCAATGACACAGCCATAATAATTAATTTTAACTTAACTTATTAAGTGAAATGAAATTATCTGCTTTCTTCGCCGTATGAATTTAATAAATATCAACTCCAAGTTAAGGCCGCCGTTGGAATCGGTGTTAAAGTAAAGTTACGACAAAAATGTCTTATATATAATAAAATAACAAATACATTAACCATATTGAAAATAAACATTCATTATACATTCATGATTTCATAAATTCAGGCCATCTAACGTCTATTTTACGTACCACCTTGGGTGTCAATTAGTTGTTTGATAAAGTGACTACCTATAGTATGGAGTACGTGGCGCTGTTATAATTATACTCGAAAGAAAATATGATATCTATGTTTCTTATATATATATTAAAAGGATTGTTACATTTATTTACTATAAAATTATTATTTTTATATATCTATGCCAAATTTATAGTTTAAATTATAATACATAAATAATTTGCCGTAAAATATTTGTATTTCATATTTCATTTCATTTGAAGGTATTTCACTTCTGTCGCGTATAAGCTGCACGCATGTTTTTTTCCTTAGATTTTATACATTTTTATTCATGAGCATTTTATTTTTTACTGAAATTGCTTACTCATAGTGTATTTTATATCTATGTTTCAGCTTATATTCAGCGAATTTTGATTTTTGACAAATTTTTGTTAAGTGAGAAGTCAACATATTAGCATATCAAGGTATCTAGCTTGCTACATATTTATTAATTTGCGGTCTGTGAGCATCACTGTCGACAGAGGAGTTTTGTTTTGACGGATTGTTGCTCCTGTTTTAGTGTTTAAATAATGGTTTGAAGTAGATTTTGATACGTAAATGTGATACGATTTTGTGTATTAAATGTCTGCGCATGTGAACTATTAGAGAAAACGACGAAACAAGAGCTACAACGTTGATATAAACCTCAAGTTATTTTCATCGCTTAGACGCCACCACAGGAACATGGGCGACTATCGACTACTTACTGTCCGCTGGGAGGAATAATTTGCCGGCGTCTATTTTTCAGTCCGAATACAACTTGGGCGTCCTCAAAGCAAGAGTGAATAGGTTTTTGCTAAGATAGTACCATTTACCATCTAGGGCTACATCAGCACCTACCACCAGGTGGTATTGTTTTGAAATAAAATTGTCTCAATTAAATAAAATGAAGCCATGGCTTAAAAGACAAGCATCCAAGCCAAAAGTCCTAATAAACAACTGTCAACCGACAAATGTCATAACCTATGGTCATAACTCATAAACACATGTGGTATGTGGTTATGTTAAAAATACCGCGATTTTAGGTTAATCCTCTTTCAAACATTTAAGAATGTCGTTTCGTGGAAGAGGAGGTGGCGGTGGTCGCGGTGGTTTCGGAGGCCGCGGTGGAGGACGTGGTGGCTTCGGCGGTGGCAGAGGCCGAGGTGGTGGAGGTGGAGGTGGCTACAGACAACAAGACCTCGGCCCTCCTGAATCGGTTATCCCGCTCGGTCATTATGGCTGGACAGTTCAAGATGACTTAGTGTGTAAAGTAGATATTGAAGACGTACCTTACTTTAACGCACCAATTTTCTTAGAAAATAAAGAACAAATTGGCAAAATAGATGAAATTTTTGGAAATTTACGAGATTACTACGTGTCAGTAAAGCTAGGAGAAAATATTAAAGCAAAGAGTTTCAAAGAAGGGCAGCAATTTTTTATTGACCCAGCGAAGTTATTACCATTGAAAAGGTTTCTGCCTCAACCTCCAGGTGCTAAGAGAGGCGTAGGCCGCGGCGGGCCTCGAGGAGGTCGTGGTGGAGGATTCAATAGGGGAGGTGGAGGTCGCGGCGGTGGCGGCTTTAACAGAGGTGGAGGAGGCCGGGGAGGTGGTGGTTTCAACAGAGGCGGTGGTGGTGGTGGATTTGGCCGTGGAGGTTTTGGACGTGGTGGAGGTGGTGGTGGTAGGGGAGGTAACTTCAGAGGTGGTCGGGGAAGATATTAATGTGGTAGAGACAACAAGTGTTGATGTTTACTAAAAATGCTAATGGAACTTGAATTTAGTTAGCATCTATTTTTGCATTTAGTTATAATACTTTTGCTAAATTACAATATAAGAAAAACTGACAATAATACAATATGTATGGTTTATTACTCAACAATTTAAAGCATTTTTAAATTGTTTTTGTATTGATCTTTAGTCTGTATTGTAAACTCATAATATATAATACCTATTTAGTATATGAAAATGAGACCATAGAGTTGTGGAATTCACTTAATAGACTATATTAAATATCATCAATATCATTTGTTATGATATTTACTTTTAAAACTATAGGTCATAGATATTTTGTATGTGTTTCCTTACCAAATTATTGGTATTTTATTGAATTGGTTTGAAAACATCAATATTGAGTGACTGTAATAATTGTACAATTCAATAAATAATGAAAATAATACAACAACATTTATATGTATTTGTGTATAGTTGACTACTATATATTAATTATATATGTTACAGATTAAAGCCGCTGTGCAATACACCTAGGTTTACCCAGGTAAAACTAGGTACAGCCGTTTTCGGTTGATTAAACTAAAGTGTATCCTTTGCTATTTATAAATAAAATGTTCATATTATAACTTACTGTTGCTGATATTTTTTGACATGGGCTTTTGTTTTTGATAACTTTAACAGTACACCTAAGTTTAACCAACCACCATCAGTTGCACATACCCATAATATATGCAAAAAAGTAGCATACTTATTTGAAGACATAGTATTTGGTGGAGAATATTATGACTTAAAAAAAAACTGTAAATTTTATTTTTTCACTTTATGTAGGCTTGCACACTAATATTGTATAACTTTCATACTTGTTTTAAATTCAAATCTTAGTGCATAAGAATAAGGAGAGTAATTACCTAGTTATATTTTTAAGAATCGATTGTAGTAATAAAAGAATATTTTTAACATTTTTTTTATTAAATCCATTTATTTAGCTCGTATACTTCGGACTTACTACAGACTGCTAAGGGATAAATCTTTAATTAGTAACTATAGACAAACTTCTCTTGCTGGTGACATTGTGGATTTGTAGGAACAAACACAAGCTAGTGATACCAGTTTCCATTCCATTCCATTCCACAGAGTTGGTAATTAATTCTTGGGTCGATGTATAAGTATGTAGTACTATTATTTATTCTGTGGTATAAGCTATGACTACAAAGTCGCGAAAATATCTCTGGTCTCTATTACCAAGTTTAAATATTTAATGAAACACAAACTACATAAAAAGTGGTCACTTCCAAGCCGTTTCTAAAATAAATTTTGTAAATAGTTTGTAACCATTCATATTATAATTTTTTTTAAATTTTACTAGGTTTCTTGCTGGTTTTTCTCAGGACAGAGGTTCTTTCCGAACCAGTGGTAAAGTTAAAAATGATTTTCAATAAGAATTAAATGTGATCTATATTGAATAACAAATGTTCTATTTCGTAATTAAAAATGTTTATGCTGAAAATGTTGAACAATTAAAAGAAGTGTGATGAAGACAACTTGTTAGATTGTTTAAGCCTGTGATAGAGCATGTTGCTAGCTATACATAGCTGCAGCATGAATAGGTTGGTTCGACTGTTGTTACATTAACACACAGACTACTAGCATGAAACAGCAAGATAATGGTGAGTGAGAACTAGAATCACTTACTTTCAATGGAAATATTTCATTATTTATATACAAAAAACATTTACATTAAGTGCATGCATACACAATACTTGTTCCATAATTCCATTACATTTTAATTAAATATCTTAACAAACCCATACAGGGAAATAAAGTAAAAAATTTAACATAGTTTACATATTACTAATACATAAATAGTATATAGCAATATTATAATTATAATAAATAAAAATATGCAAAATAATAAGAAATACCTTACTATAAATGTACAAATTAAAAGTAATGTATAAAAACAGACATTAAATAATACAATTAAACATATATAATTACCAATATGGTAAGTAGGATCTCTTACACATTTCTTAAATATTAAAAGAATGAGTTATTTTAAAGGAAATATACATATAGCATATTAGCAGTGTAAGAATATCCTCTAACCCAAATCATCCCTTAGTTCTAAGAGACGACAGAAAGAAACAGAAACAAGATGGGCAGCAGCATCTTTCTAACAACAAACTGAGACAAACATATATATAGACCCTTTACTCAAAACAAGGCATTCCATCTTAGTCCTCATGGGTGACAACGCATCTGCATTTTGATTTGTAATCGAGGATGGATGTAGATGTCTATGGGCCATAGCAGCCACATACCATCAGGTGGACTTTGTGCTCGTTTGACATCCTATCCTATAAAAAAAATGTTTGTCACATTTTAATGTCAGTGTTCAAGTTTAAAAATCACAATTCTAAAGAAGTTGTCACTTCAATAAGGGGATGTCCACATTTACAATATAACATAAATTTCACAAGGACAAACATCCAGACCAGGAACAATTACTTGTAAGCCATACAAATACTTGTTCCGTGCAGGATTTGAGCCCGTGGCCCTTAGTACTGTAACTCATTGCGAAGCCACGGAGCCATCAAATCGGCTTTACTAACAAAATTTATATCATAAAGTGCATGTATGTTTATATAATATGAAATTTAAGGTGAGATCAGACTTGATTATCCCAGTTTGATTTCTAACTGCTGGGCACAGACCTCCCCTCATTTCTAAGAGGGTTTTAGAGCAAGGAAGTGTCCGCCGCGCTGTCCCAATGCTTGTTGGCGAACTTCACATGTCTTCGAAATATTTTTTTCTTATTCCTCAGATATGCAGGTCTCCTCACAATGTTTTCCTTCACCACCGAGCACATGGTAAATCAGCACTTAAAAATTGCAATTAACAATTTCATTGGTGCCGGCAGGGATCGAACCCGGGTTACTCGCGTTCTGTTATATTTATAGAGAGCGTTAGCCATCTGAGCTGCAACGGCTATATTTTCTTGCTTGGTTTTAATTAAATTTATTTTTACAATATTTTATTAATTATTGTACTATTTATTAATCCAAAGTAAAGTGCCTTAATGACAAGTTTGTTCAAATATATGTCTATTAGGAGAATGCACATTGCATATAACATCTTTTTGGACAAATACTTCTTTAAGACTTTACTAATAGCTAATAAATTAATTTCAAGCCATTACTTGCTAAGAAACATACAGACGGATTACTGAGAGGTTATATCAGCACCAGAGGAATTAGCAATCATTTTTTAATACACACAAAATCTTTGACAATTTGCATCCCAATTATAGTTCTTTTATTTACTTCTCATTTTGTATTCATTACACTTAGTATCCAACTAAGGGGTTTGCCTTTATATTATGGTTGTACAAATAAGTAGTTTAATTAATAAATTACCATATGCCATGTTATCACACTTCCACTCTCTATATTGCTTTTGAATGATCATACACTCATGCACCACAGCTTAAGTCTATTGGCTACATTTTCACTTGAGGTTCCAACAGATAACAGAGCGCAGAGAATGTGCAAAATGTTCATACACATTCACTTGCCACTATATGCCTAGCCTTTATTTACTTTTATCTCAATCAAGTCACATCATTTTCAACTATATTCGAAAGTACTTTTTTTAATAAGGTTAAAGTTAAACAGAAGTCATAAATATTAATTTAATTACAATACTACAATTATTTATTCACTAGTATGTTATGATGTAAAAAGGTATAATATATCAAATTTCAACTATATACATATCTATCACTTTTATCTATTCTATATTATCTAAATCACTTTTACTGGCACTGGGTATATAATTATATGCGAGAGCTTTTCCTCTGTGGTTGAACATATAGAAAGAAGGTAAATTCTTCTGTGTTTCCCATCGCACATTATTAAGTTCTGCTGCAGCTGGAATCTCACGGAGGTTACCAGCGACATTAAGTACACCCCACATCACAGCAAATAAGCTGACCACCGCCTGAACTACAATCTGTAATGTATTCAATAGTGGGAAATTTAATATGAGGGCTCAAATTATTACTACTTATATCAATCACATCAAAACATTTATAACTTACATCTAGGGGTAAAGTTGTAAATTCCTGAGAAGTAATCCTCAAGTAAGAACGATCTATAACAAAAATGTCAAATTAATAAAAAATATAGGTTTATTTATTTTGCTGAATAATAATCAAAATGATATATCGGAACTTACGTTGCGCAGCTGAAAAAGCAGAATGAAATAAGGATACAAAACCTACAATAACAATAAGCTTATGAATTGTAGATGCCATTATAAATATATACTGATTTTCAGCGAAAGTCGTTTTTTTTATGGCAAAATGATGTATGGAGATCGGAAATCGGAATCAGATAAATAAAAGAGAAACGGCGATTATTATTTTTATCCACAGACTACTAAGCACAGAGTACTTTTTAAATACTGAACATGGAGGTTAGAAAACATGATACGGACACTACCACTATTAAAAGTAAAAGACTACTATATATAATATGATATGAGGATACAGGCACAATAAAAAAAAAAACAAAGGATACAGGCGTAGTGTAGGGCGACCCCCCAATAGATGGAGTGACGACCTAGTAAGACATGCAGGAAGTCGATGGATGCAGGTGCTTTGTGGCATTACTTGGGGGAGGCCTATGTTCAGCAGTGGACTTGTGAAGGGCTGTAATGATGATGATGATGATACAGGCACAGATCACTATAAACTAGTACAAAATACTAAAATCTGTACAACATAGCTTGATCTTTTTGACAAAGGCTCAAAAGGGCTAGAACCCAGAGCTCTAAAGCCAGTTAATAAAAAAATATTTTGACAGATGGGTCTAGTGATGGAAACAAAATATCTAGTAGTGCAAAAAAAAATTGTTTTTAAAAACTATGATGACATGGTGTGACTGTATGTATGTTTAAAACTATTCAAAATAAGTTAATTCATTCATCAA